GACACAGATAGCCACTTCAGCCATCACAGAGTGCACTGGTTTGGGGTGGAACAGCAGTTTTAATATGTGTTCTTCAGTTATATGACCTTTAACATATTCTAAGTAGAATTTTTAAGACTACCTCTCAACAACTGAAAGGTTCCTAAGCAACCTTCATAATTGGCCACTGCCAAAGTAAAAAATTCAAATTATTTTCTAAAGGTTACTAATGCCAGCTCCCTTTATACAGCTTGCCATGGAATACCTACATGGAACAGTAGTGCCTTAATGATACAACTTTTCCCAAAGATGCTTTTTCCCTTTCTTCAGAGCAAAGCAGTTATACTTGAGGTGAAAGTTATTGAGTAGGTTCAGGCACCTTTTGAGAAACTGGCTTGATGAATGTATCCTGAATTCAGAAAAATTAATATGCCTTATCAAAATAAGAGTTAATTACAGGGATTACATTACTGCACACACCCCAAAGCACTCACCACTTTTACTTCAATTCGAGATAATTTTGGTATTTAAACCAACAAGTTAATGGGCAGGCAACATTACACTCAAAAGCCTCTAAGTATTAGAACACACCTACGCATCATAACACAGTAAAATTACTTGACAGGTATGCTGGATAAATAAAAGCTAAACATAATAAAGAGTTGATCATTATCAAGAGGTGGTACTTAGACATGCTTAGAAACATAGCAGTTCTCTGAAAACTTCACACCCTTCTGCTAGATCGCAGTTTGGCTGCCTCTCCATACACTGCCTCAAAGATGCTGAGGGGACCCTTAAACAAAACCAGAAAAAGAAAACACCTGCTTTGAAAAACTGTTACCATGTGTCAGGTATTCACTTGCCAAGGGAGTGGCAATATTTATCAGCTTTCCTGCAGTGGCTAGTCCTGATACCACAATCAAGGCTCAAGAGTTAATGATTTCCCCCTGTGAAAACTCCAGTGAGCCAAGCTGCAGGGCTGGGCTCTGTCCTTGATCAACACTTGCAACCTGTTATTCATCCAGTCCCACAACATGAACAGAACCCCTCAGGTAAGACTTGGAGCACAAGGTCTGTATTTTGTTTAAGGTTCATTTTCCTTCTTCCTGCAGGGCTGGTCCATTTAGTGAGCTCTGAAGGCCTGTATCTTGTTACTGCATCAAGGCTGTAACCATAGCCAGCTGCTGGCAAGAGCCCAAGCAACTTGCACTCACTGCACAGCCCCTTAACCCTCCTCATTCCAAACCAACGCTGCCAGCAGAACATCAAATTTCAGACCCATTTCCACGATGCCCTTTGTTTTGTACCCACAGCTCCATCATCAGAGGAAAGGACACAAAGAACCCTTCCAGGCTGTGGGATTCTATATTTTCCAAACACCATACCTTTGCCAACAGCTTCTGTTGACCATTTCTTTCCCCTTCTAAGCAGAAGGCTTTGTTTCTGAAGTGCTTTTAAGACAGATGTTTGTTCACAATTGGTGACTGCTCACTTAAAAGCGGGGACCCCTAAAGCGATTTTGCTCACTAACAAACATGTCCTGCTATAGAGCCTGAGCACATCCATCCAGAGAGAAATTTGGAAGAGCAGTTAGTTTTACCTAGATTTAAATCTCCAGTTTTCCATGAGTCCCTGAAGCACTTCAAAATGCAGTAACAGGATGCGACATATCTGACTTCCCTACTTAAAGAGGATTCTGGTTTTTGCTGCAAGCACACAGTGTTTGGGACTGGTCTGCAGGTGCTCAGTAACAGTGAATCCTATGGCAGAAGTCTGCTCTGGAAGAATGCTTTCAGGTGACTGATGAAGCTTAAATATTCTTCTACTCCTGCCACAGTCTTTCCCCAAACAGGTGTATAGAGAAGTCTCCGCCTATCTTTGTTAGGGTAAATGGAAAACAGCAGTTTGACGTCACAGTGTCTGAACTTGAAAAGCTTATTGTGACTTGCTACTCAGCAGAAAAAAGACAGGAAAGCTGCAATCCCATCCAGCTGCTTATACTGACTTCACCTCTAGTGAGAAACAAGGGCTGTACAGACAGATGCACCTTCATCAAGATCAACAAAGGCATACTCCCTGGAATGAAGATAAAAACCTGAGATAAATATAAATACCATAGGTGGGGTAGAAAAATATCTCCCCAGTCGGGCTATTTGAGGCAGGCTAAAAATTCCACTCTCCCCATCATCACTTTACCAGTTTTTACATCATTCCCCCCTTTCAGTCTCCTCAGTCTATAACTTCAACTGACATCAGTGGAACCTTCTAGAGGTTTTGTGTCTGGTACTATCAAAGCGCAGAATGAGGCCAAATCACAGGACACACCAGCAACAAGGGAACTCCTTCTCCATACAGACTGGCTCAAGTGTCCTGGTCAATTATTCAAGATATAGTCTCAAAGTAGTTCATTCACCGTATATACAAAGAGGCAAAACACCAGAAAAAAGTGCTGCATGTATATTCAGGGCTAGAAATGACTATAATTAACTAATGAATTGCAATGGTTTTATCTCATTCATGCATTTTAAAGGGCTTACCTTCCACGTACAGTCAGATTCAGACCCTGGAAAAACCCTAGCCATATATAAAGGGCCTGTGATATCTATTTAAACATGTTTCCAGGTCTGTGATGTCTTACAGTGACACTGATAGAGCAAGAACTACGGTGCTCAGCCAGGACAAAACAAAATAAAATTATCCAAAAGTGTTAGCAAGTTATAATCAAGTGCCTCACTTTTTGCTGCTCTTTGGATTTACAGTAACTACAACTCTCACTCACCAGTTGTCACAGATATTGCAAGCTCAGAGCAACGAGGAAGAATGAGAACACTGCCACTTGGTGGAAAAGGGGGATAGGAAACATTTGCAACTGCTCCAAGTAAAACTACTTTTACAATGATGTTCCATCTTCCCCCATCTCAAGTGAATTTCTTAACAGCATGGCTAGTGCAACTCCATCAGTGCCCCACAGAACACCACAACTTGCCTTCTCTCTGACCAGCACAGCACTGGGCTGCCCTGCAGTACACTGCTTATCAAAGGTGCGCTTCTACCTCTCCCCCAAGTGCCAGCTGGCTATTTAGCTAGAATTCAAAACACCCAAAAGGCCAGAAGAGGCTATTCCCTTGTTCACTTATGTACGTAGACATCTATTAAGGATGACATGGAAGTTCTGAAACTGCTGAATTTCAGATTTGCCTCCCTGCTATTCTTCTCAAATCCTCACCTTTCACGTCATGCTAGGATGGCAGAAGTTACCTTTTTTGTTTTTTTAAAAGTTTAACTTTAATTTACATTTTGAGTTCTTGCAGAGTTCCTACTGCAGAGTTTACCCAAGATATCAAATGCTTTTAATACATTCAGTGTTTCTTTGCTTCCCCACTGAAGCTGAAACACTGCTCTGTGGCCATGGGTAGCTCTTCTTCAGAAGGGCAAGAAGCACCTAGACAGTAGCACACAGAACTCACTGAAATCAAGAGGCTTTTTAAACAAGCCAACGTGAAACATCAGCAACATATTAAAGCAGTGGCCACACAATTCAGTGGTAAGATTTCTGTAATGCATCATTACTCAGACAAGAGCTACTATAGTCCAATTTGGCTCTTTTTCTCTTTGCCAGATCTTTTCTCCACTGCCCTAAAGTCCTAGAGCCCTTTTTAGCAGAGACAGAAATGCACGCAATTGCAACTGTGCCCTACTACAGAGGTTGTGGTGATGTACACCATATTTCTTTAAGAAAAACCCATCTATTCTTCTTTCACAGTACACATTTGGATCCAGCAGTTTTTACAGAAACATCTTGCTAGCATGCTTACCAGCCACAATGGCAAAAATTTAGAAGAAAAACAATAAAAGTGAGAGATTACCTTTTCCCCTCTTCCAAAAAAAGGTAATTTATTTTTCTTGCAACAAGGAAAGGAGATGATACATTCCATTTCCAAGTGCCTTTGGCACACAGGTAAGAGGTATTAATAGTCTTTCACACACTGATGCAAGAGACTTTACCAGCTGCAGTAGAGCTGCCAAGATTTTCAACTTTGTATCACTATAAACCCATAAAAGTATTGTGGAAATTGGAAGAAGGTACTGCTATAAACCTAATTTAAGCAGAAGAGCTAAACACATTCATTTGCCTTCGTCTTGTCCTATCAAAGCCCTATGCTAATTCAAATGCTCTACAGAATTTCAGTTTGCAGCACAGTCCTCTGGTTTCCTTAGCAGAGCTTAGAGACTGTCTGCATCCTTGAGGAAGCTACTGGATAAAATAACGGCCCTTGCAATTGTCGTTCACTCGGTATCCCACAAGACTGCTTATATTGCACAGGGGATTGAACTAACGTAAAAATTTGAGCACAGGTCTCCATAAAGTTTCAAATGGATTTGGTCTTTTGTCTGTCTTCCAGCTTTTAGCCTGATGTATGATCCTATGTGCTGTTAAACATTTGTTGTTCAGCAGAAAGAAGATGTAATCCCAAGATAGACGACTTCAACTATTTACGACAGCTATCATCTGGGGATCTTATTTCACTTTTTAAATTTTAAATACAACCTTCAAAAAACTGCTTTATTCAGGATGAGAGAAAGAGAGCTTGAGACAAGTGAATTGATTTTGACTCATTTCATGACCTCTAGGAGCACAAGATCATTTATTCATTAAGCTGTTGTAAACGAAGAAAGTATTCCAACTAACACTGGTCATAAGAGAATTCTGTGCTAAAGACTACATCTCCCAGATCACTACAAAATAGGTGAGATGCTGTCAGGAAACCCACCTCACCTCTAATGCACAAGATGACTAAAGTCACGAATGAGATCTTGATCGTGAGTCAGTCTGTAGCCTAATTGGTTAACTAACTTTGGCAGAAGCCAGAACTAAAGTAAAAAAAACGTGTTACAGCTACAAAAAGGAAAGTACGAAACTATCTATGGAAGATCACAAACGAACACCAAGCCATGCTGTTAAGATTTATTCCTCTTGTACTGAACTTCCCCCCCCACCACCATACCACACTTTCAAATACCTTTAGGTCACCAGCCTCAGGTTTTTCAGTCTCTGAATCGTCATCTTCCTACAAGACAAGAATTTACAGGATTAAGCTTAAAGAGCAGGCTTGGCAAGTAACTGCACTTACAGCAAAGGGCTTGCCATTCCGCAGCCCAGCAGTAGTCCAAGACCCTTTCCACGGAACGTAGTTTTGTCCCACCCACTCATGACCAGAAAACAAGTCCTACAGTCAGGGAAAGAAGTGTTTGTTGGGTTTTTGAGGGTTATTTTAGGCAAAAGCATCACTCAGTAGCAGATGTCCCCCACAAAACTCATGCAGCTCCTAAATGCTCAGAACTAGACAATAAGAAGCAACAGAACTGGGAAAAAAGCATTTGTCATTTGATAATTCTGTCTCTTTCAGTTGGCAGGCAAGCTTTTTGGACTTGCCCATGTGTAGCAGTACTCACAGAAAAAGCATTTGCAAGACCTATTATACTCCCAAGCATACATCAGCAACAGACACAGGACACACAGCTGGCCTGCCATCCAACCAAACATGCAGGCTTGGCAAGGGTCTGGCCTAGCACCGACTTCCAAGGATCCAGTGAGGCCCACAGACACCGCATCTTTCTTATTTGTGTAGTGCTCTCGTAGCCTCATTTGCAGATGACATGAACTTGCAGAGAAGGGAACCACTGACAAAATTCAGTGTTTTGGGTGACAGACTCTATTCAGTTTTTATTTCTACCCAGAAATAAACCAAAGAACTGGGCAAATTTCTGCCCTGAGAGCGCTTAAAATACTGAACCCGGCCTCACGTAAAGTTCTACACCATGGAGAAGTAAGGTCTAGCTTTGGTCCCAACTGCTAGGTAAGCCTACTGTTCCACTGCCCTACGAGCTACTTCACTGGGATCCTAGAGTTACCTATGTTTCTAGACATAAATACATACTGTAGGTTCAAAATAAATCTGAGGAGCAGAAAATGTTTTTCATGCTCACACAACTCAGCAGAACGGTTTTTCCTCCAAACTTCACCACAAATTTCAACTTTGGCCCCCAAAAAAAACCTTGGTGTTTCAACTTCAAAAAGAAAAACCAAAAAAGAACTGAGATGATTACACGCAACTGAAAGAAAGACTTTACAGCAAAATGCCCATCTCAGAGTATTAGCACACGAGCAAATTCTGGCAAGGCAAGCTAGAGACTGACCACACAATAACGTCAGTAAGTTTTAATTGCCTGAATTAACACGCCTGTCCCACAGAAATGAGACATCAAACTCCTTTACTTCTGCTACTCTCCAGCTTACCTTTCCAAAAGATGCATATATGCCAATAATTCAGTCTTAACTGTCAAAGTTTAATAACAGTAAGTTTGTAACTAGAAAAGAACCATAGTGCCAAGTAACTTGGTGTTTATCACAAATGAGATTTCTCTCCACAGTCCCACAAAGGAACAATGGGTTGAATCATTCAAGTTACCGACAGGTAACTGAAACAGCTCCCAAAACCTTCTAACCTAGCAGGGGATATCACTGAAATGACATCAACAAAGAAGCATTACTGACAACTGCCTTTGAAAAGAAACGGAGACTTTTCAGTCACCATTAAGGTCAATAATATAGGCACAGAGTTGTTCAGATAAAAGCCCAGGACAATCTGAGTCCAAATTGCACTGCTTTCTAAAAACAACTCATAACCAACATAAGGTACAAGCACAGGCAATATCAAGCAAGCTCTCAATTCTAGTCAAAGAATACTTAATGCAAAAAACCAAGCACTGCTCTCCAGCCCAAAGACTGGAGAGAAGGCAGCCTGTGTAACCTGCGCTTATCTGTCCAGTAACCACAAACATATGCAAGATCTAATGGCTGACATCAGAGTGACTCAATCGATTGCCATTACTTGAACAGCAATTTGTACCTCCCCGATGATGGCCAGCTGTGGCCTGCACTGAAAATTGTGCATACCAGAAAGGCTACTCTATTTACATGCCCATTTGTTCATGCTAACTAAACACAGCTGATTTTGATAGGCATCTGGATCACACCTACTGCTTTTTTTAAACTAAAGAGATCTTATTGAAGGAGGGTCTAGAAGTTTTGGATATAAAAAGAAGAATCACTAAAGCAGCAAAGAAGCTTCATTAATTTGCTAAGCCAGATGCAGACCCTGAATGCTATTGCTTGCACCTTCTCCAGTTAGCAACAGAAGAAAACCAAAAGCAAGAACAAGAGACTGACAAATTTCTTGTCTGCTGCTTGGGAAAACAGATGGCAGAAACAGTGAGCGTCTCATAAGAGACTGATCTAGTGCACACAAAGTAGATTTCAGTGAGGAAAGGTTATAGTAGCATAGCCCTGTGTTTTTGGCTACACAGTACAGGAAAGAATAGGGACAAGATGTGGTGGTGGAAAGCAAAAGGCTGACGAGAAAGAAAGGAGACAAGAACCTCCTCCCTGCCCCCAACTTATAGCATTGCTCCTACAGACATACAACAGAACTATATATCCTTTTGTGCGTTATAGCTGCACTCACAGGTAGTGAGCTACATACATCAGTTATCTCAGTATTTAAGTGACGTTATACACATGCCATGCACCTATGACAAACAAAAGCCACTCACATCTAGACAGGACACTGTTACGTCAAGGTAACCTGATGCAGCGAGTGGGTTGAGTTATACAGAAAAGAATAATTTAAGACATCACTGAACTTTATTCTTTTTAATCCTCCAGCTGACCGCACAACAGTGTGTTCCTCTTACAAGGTTCTCATATATCAACTATACCTAAGGAATAATTTTCATTTGGCGTGACTGTTGATTTTTACCAGCCTTTTTCCCACAAAAGAGTCAAATAGCATTAACACAGTCAGCACCAAACACCACGAGCTGTGCCAAGCTGCTGATGAGTTTCAAGGCAAATGCTTCCTACTTGAAAACAAAGTGAATAGAAGCATTTGGAAAGCGCTGAAACCCACACCAGGAGTCAGATATTTTAGGTTCCATCAAGGATTGCCACTTGAGGGCTTTCTTTCAAGCAAGAAAAGCCTCTGCAACGCGTGAAAGAGACCAGGGCGAGCTCTGTGAGCACAGAGGTACTTACTGACTGTCTGCTGTTCTCATCGTCCTCTTCTTCATACCCGTCCTCGTCCCCATCCAGACGGGTGAAGTCGTCGTCTCCGTACCCAACTGAGACCAGGCCTCCTTTCTCTCCTAAGGAGGAAGAGAAAAGGAAAACCATGAGGAAAGGGGAGGTGGCAACTAGCGGGACCTTCCCCTCACAGAGGAGAAGGCGCCGGGCCGGGCCACGCGGGGGAACCCGCCCAGC